CAAAGGTAATCCGAGTGTCTAACATTAAATTTCCATCCATGTCTTTCACCATCAAATACTTCCATTGCCTCATCAACGTCGGAATTTGCCTATATGCTTTTTCCCAATCGAATAAAGCTAATAGCCAAGGTTCCTTAGTCGATTTAAAGAAAGCGGCTACTTTCTTGAAATCGTCCCATGTTGTAATGAATAATTTAGCATCTACGAAAGAATTTACTGAAGGAATTGATGGATTATTTCTCGGAAATGATAAATAATTTATCGGCCTTAGTGAACCATCGCCGTTTATTACGGCTCCTAAAGGACTTGACCGAAAGAATTTGAAAATTCTCTTTACTTGCTTGTGACTGTACGGTCCAAACATTCTTTTCGCCTTTACCTCTTTTGCCATCGAATCTCTTATCTTGTCCGCTGCTAAAATGGATGATGTGTGATTATCCGGTGTACAGAATTCTAAACCTTCTATCGTGTGATCTGGGATTCCTTGATCGAATCCTTGAACAAAACCGTGAAGCACGTCTTCATATTTTTCAAATAACTTATTCGACTTTAGAGCTTCTCTCCACTTCTCAACATTCATTTCGCACTTTATGGCAGTTGGCCAATTCTCTGGTAATACGACGTCTTCGGTTGACTCTTCTACAGATGAATCACATTCTCTCGAACCTCGGTTATCATCTGATAATCTTCTTAGTTGGACTTTGGGACGATGATAAAGCTTTTATTTCACTTAAGTACAAATAATACAAATATACATTAACAACATGCAATTAGAAACTTGCTCTATATAAAGGCACTCCATGAAGGAAAAACAACGAAATTTTGTTCTTAATATACGATGAAAAACATTACACCTACTTTGTACTATTACTAGTTTTCGCTGCCACCGCCGCCAGGACCCTGGAATGCCCCGGTTGATGTGGGTGACGAGGAAAATCCCCTTTCCCTGGTCTGATTTTGAAAATATCTCAAATTATCCCCTTTTCGGTCACCCACATACGCCAGTTTTTGGTTTTTTTACCCGAAAAAGTCCCCTTTTCGGTCACCCACCTTGGAAAAAAAAAAAAAAAAAAAGAAGGAAAAAAATATAAAAAAGGCGAAAAACACATAAATATGCATTTATTCAATACATGTGAGTATTTGCAAGGGCAGTGAGGCTCTCTTGTGAGTGTTGTAAGTCTGTGTGAAGCATTGAAGCTCCACATCTCGCGAAAAGAGGAGCTTCAAGAGTATTTGCACAATATAGCAGACTATAGCAGACCTGACAGTTTAGAATTGAATGATTCGTGTAGTTACAACTCTCTCTTTGGATAACAAAAACATGTATTTAATATTTGAAAGTAATTAATCATTTACTCGGAAATATCTCCGTTGCTGGGCTGAGATTTCAACTTCGCTAATTCGTCATAGTATCGGTCGATTAAACGTTCAAGATGAACAGAGCCGAGCATGTCGCGCATGACAGGTGGAATCATATAGCAGCCTTGCCCCACGTCCTTGAAAGATGAACTCTCAAAAACATAAACGATAACAGTAGCATCCAGGAGAGAATGAGTCAACTCATTGGATGATGGGTTTTGAGTTGGTGTTACAACCGGATAAAGCGGGTTGTAGAAGAGAATTTGCACTGCAATATGTGACAGACCCTTCCTTGCATCCGCACTTGTCACAAAAGTGTGTTTTTTGTTGACTAGCTTATAGACCACAAGCGTTTTAGCTAAGTACAAAGTCTAATTATTATAAATGCATCAGCCTTCGAAAAAGTCTCATGGAAGTGTGAGATGAACTTATGATGAACTTACATGATTCTTGATAACAATCAGGAAACTCCCAGGTTTGATAGGGTTTGTGGGCTTGATTTCCCCGCCTTCAAGGAGCCCTTGCAAGTGGACTTGACCAAACGTCGCAGAGTCCTTCACGATTCCAGATAGATTGATCTTGACGTTGATATTCCACCGGTGCCTACGTGCTTCGCTAGTGGGAATCTCTTCTAAGTTCTTGAAGCAGACAGCAATGATTTTTGAACAAGCACTCGGTTTCACACCACCGCTCTTGGTTTTGCTTGTCAACTCTAGAGATAATTCATCGGTATGGATGATGTTTCGTTCATTTCCCTTATGTTTTATAACCTCGCTATCGTGACGTGTTCGGATCTCGATTAGATTGGTGCCAACGAGCTTTCCATCCATGACTAGTGGCCCGATTATATTGCTTTTCAAGTCTTTCGAGGCAAGATTTTGTTGATTATGCTCATCTGAAGCTGCTAAAGAAAGTATCAGTAATACTTTCTGAAATCGCATAGACAGTATGTGGAAGGGACTTACACACTGGATTGAGGAGATTGGAAATAGACATTGCTGCGTTTTGCAAACATTCCGTTTCAGAATCTTCGGGCAAGGTTCCCAGAAAAAGGTCAACAGCATTCTGTTCCTTGGTCAAGTGAGCAGCTGCTTCCAGCGCTTGCTTTTCGCGGATATTATCATCGGTATATCCATACTCAATGTCATAGAGTTGAGTAGCGCAAACAGATATATCTAACACCAATCAAATGCATGTGTCAGGACATGTTTAGGAAAAAAGTATCATAGAAAAAAGTGAAATAACCAACCTGATAAGTTTTCAGGCGAGTTTTCGGCTGCATCATCAAAATCAGGGATTGGAACGTCATCCACTGAAGATTCGAGAGGTCCCATTCCAGATAGCTGGCACAGTTGATTTGCTCGCTTGTGCGCAACTGCTAGATCCTCGGAAATGTGTTGATCACTTGGGAACTCCGCTAGAAACTCGAGTTGATTTTTTTCAGGTTCATCAGTAAACGCATACTGGTATCCAGAATGCATATGTTCTGAAGGAGGTATCTTCATTCTTCCCGACATAATATTTTTGACAATAGCATGAATCTTCGGCATCATCAATCTAGCATCTAAAACGGTAAATCTGGGTGATATAATACGCATCCAGCCAAATATGTGTTCACATGGCTCACTACCATGTTTCCATGGGAGCAAAGGTGTGGTCGAATAGAAATTTCGGTGGGCTATGATGAGCTGAAGAAGAGAAATGGCTAAAGTTGAAAAAATTTTGAAGCTTTGAGGTGAAATGCAGTTTTGAGCAAAGCTCATAAGTTTGTGAGACTCGGCTTGTCGCTTTAAGAGATAAGTCTTCCATTGTCGAAAGAAAAATTCCGCAGTCCAGGCTGATCGAATCCGTTCTCGATGGCCAATCCATCGGTTCAGCCATGCATCACACATTTCACCTATCACAAAGAGGTAAATCGACAACCCTAACATTTCCTCATCGGCCAGGGAGACGGCCAACGTCCTCGAGTTCAATGTTCTGAATGCGCAGCCATCATCTTGCTTGTCGCAGTCGAAAACATCCTTATGAAGCAGGGGGCTACGACCAGACTGAAGTATTGCGGCAATTTGCTGAATCGAGATATGATATCGACCGATGACAAGCAGTCGTGCTCCAGAGCTCAACTGGTTTGCACCAGTTTTACGAGCATGTTTCGGGTCTTGGACCATCACGACTGGTCGTGGTGGATGTCCAATCAGAGATAACTTGATGTGCACGTTGTAAGTCGGATTGGAGTAAGTAACGAAATGAGTCGCCGTTTCCGCGAGCGCAGTTTGAGCACAGAGTTCTGTGGGCGCACCATCCGCACCAACTGACAAGATGTTGATTCCAGACTGTTGAGATAGCTCCAAGAACTTGATATGATTATTGAGTATATCGTTGGATGTCTCTTTATCGCAGCTGGCAATAAGGGCCACCACAAACGTTGGGACATTAGGTAATGGAACCTGTAAAGTGTAGGCTCGGATCTGAAGAAAGAAAAGGTAAACAATCAGTAACAAACTACTGAATCGAAACATAAAATAAACGTACCTTTGAGCAAAGCTCTTTCTTTTGGACCACGGATCTTATCAGATCCGGAAGCTCAGATGGATCTCCAAAAGAGATATCACCTCCTTGCGCCCCAACCAAACAGCTGTTGTGATATCAAAGACGTTTGACACACACAGTCTGATCGGAAGCAGCTGCAACCGGACCAGAATATCTGAGATCTTTCAAAACTTGGGCGATTCGTTTAAAATTGTTGATGTGGAGATCATCTAGTAGATGCATCCCTTCCCTTGATCGGATCATTCTTAGACTTCGAGCGCTACGTCCCGCAAAATTGTCGTTGAAAAGGTTCAGAGCGCGCGGGCTAATGGCGCCAAGCGTCATAACAAATTCATCAAGACATGAGTCAATCTTCATACCACGGGTAGTCTTTCCTGCTTGTTCGCGTTCGGCTTTAACTGCGACCGCCTTGATCAATCCACGAGTCGCATCACGATTGTCGAATAGACCATTTCGAGCGGAAGCCACAAGGACCGTGCAGAAATCGGAGAAATCACCCTTTGAAGCCTTCTTGATTGAAGTTGAAAGGAGGCGAGCATCTTTAGATTTTAGTATAGTAGGTGAAAACGCATTGATGTTATCTGACATGTAGTCGTTGCGGCTGTACTTTATGTTCTCATCATCAGCGTACTTCATATTGAGGGCTTTGATTAGGCTACGGAGATTTTTGAGGTCTTCACAAGCTGCACATACGGTGTTCGTGATGTTGTTCTGCTTGCATTGAAATGTTTTACTGCACTGGCTAGAATATATAGCGCTTCGGTCTCCGTGACGCTTGATTTGCCATTTCGATCGAGCATCAAGAGTTACAATCAATTGTGTTTTCTGCTCGGGAGTCAACTTGGCCTCTTGAGCATCTTTTCCGAAAAGTTCCTTGCAGATTTCGTGTCGGGTGTTGCCACAATAGACAGTGAAAGATTTCGACACAAAGCTTGCAATCGAACTCGAAGCTTGTTCTCGTTTCCAGGTATCGTCGTTGAGTCCCGGACAAGACACCGTGATCATATTCTTAGCAATCACCGACCTTCCAAAAAAATTAGTTAATTGGGTAGTCTCCTTGAGGCTGAGAGTCTTATCTTTGCATGTTTCTGTTACGAAACATTGATCATCAGTCCAAAGAGACCTTATAAGTGAATAAGTGACAAATTGTCGCTTACCAGAGTCCCAGTGAGTTTTTGCTGGTCTAACACGGCCACCGTTAAGCCAGATCGGTTTGGCACCACAGTGGCACGAGAGCTCTTTACCTCCAAGGCGGTCTTCCACCTGGCATCGGGTGCAATTCTTGCCACGTGTTGATAACGGGCACAATTCAAGAAGATCTGATTGCTTCGGTTGAGGATCTTGAGGAGGTTTGTTCGGGAAAGTACCTCCGATGAACTCCAAGTCACTATCCTCGTCAGAGTTGAGCGTGTTCTTATTGACAGTTTTGATCGGTTTGTCGTGGTCAGAGGACAAAACGACGACTTTCAAGTCCTTGGTACTAGTAGTGCGTGGTTGCTTGGCTGGACAGATCGGGGGTTTGAGCGTGTTTTTATTGGCAGATTTGATCGGTTCGTCATGGTCAGAGGACAAAACGACGACTGTCGAGCCCTTGCTACTAGTAGTTTGAGGTTGCTTGGCTGGATGTATCGGGGTCTTGAGCGTTTTCTTATTGACAGTCTTGATCGGTTCGTCGTGGTCAGAGGACAAAACGACAACTTTTGAGTTGTTGGTACTAGTAGTGCATGGTTGCTTGGCTGGACGGATCGGGGTCTTTGGGGTGGTGGACACCACTTGGCGTTTCTCGCCGCTGCGTTGTTCGTCAAAATCTGAAGGAAGTACAGAGATCGAAACTCGAATCAGTTTCAAAAGTCTCCATAATAACAAGAAATAAAAAAAACTGAACACTTTATACACTTACCTGGATTCGTATCGACAGCTCCCAAATCTGATGGAAATGTTTAAAGAAGATGTTGAAAAAGGTTGAAATAGTTTGATTCTCAAATCAGTGTCAAATACGAAAACATGATCTACTTTCTATATAAATAAATAACAATAACGGCGAAACAGCTAAAGAGGCTAAAGACTTACCTTTCAGGGCAGATACAATATTGTCGAGCTTGACCTTGATAAGCTTGTCAGAATCGGCATCCCAAGAATGGTGCTTTCGAGCGTTCTGGATCCATTCGATCACCAACGGAAGTCCAACCGTACCTTTCGATAAGTTTTCTTTGATACAATCACGACCAAATACACTATCAAGGGTGGTATTAGCGACAAACCACATTCCCTCATCGTCGGGAACGGGAGATTGAGTGAAACAGCGGAAAATCATATCTGCGCGAGTTCCTTTGCGGAGACCTGGGCAGTGGTTGCACAGGTTTTCAATCTTTCGTAGAGTTTGATCAACAGATAACATCTTTTTCTTTATCTTTCACGTGCGTGTAAAGCTGTGTAAAGTAGCTGTATGTGGCTATATTGCGGCTATTTGCGGGGTATTGGTGTTCGAGGGTGTTCGAGGGTTTTTGTGAAAGGGTTTGAATTGATTGGATCTGGAGTTTCAAGATTTGTCCGAAGAGGGTGGAAGCTTGTAGATCTTGAGCATGTGGCTGCATGTGGAGACTCGAGAGGGCAATACACCGGGAACTACCGGGAAACCTAACCTGACCTAACCTGACCTAACCCTACAAACTCCCCTTCCAAGTCACCCACATGAAACCCTCGGAACTCGAAACTCCCCTTTCACATCACCCACATTTTGGTGAAATCCGGCCAAAAATCCCCTTTCTGGTCACCTACATATGACCAAAAAGGCCCCCGAAAGTCACCTTTCTCGTCACCCACATCAACCGGGGCATTCCAGGGTCCTCCGCCGCCGCCGCTGCAGCTGCTGCAGCTGCTGCTTTCTTCTCTTTGAACTTCGGATCATAATTGCTTCCATTGTATCCTGGATTGAATTTCTTCTTTTCTTTATGGAAGGAAGATCCTGAACCTGAGGCTGCTGAATTGTCTTCGTTATGAGTATCGTTCCACTTCTGGAATGGTTTCCGAAAGATTGAAAAGATAGCAGAAGAGAATGGGATTTCGAGAATATCGACTATCAGATATCTAAAGTGACAGGGTCTCACTCTCTTCTTATGTAAATTCTCATCGAATCCGAATAAACTTTAATTTAATTGAATTTGACTAAAACAAGTCGAACTCGTATGCGACAGGACCCAGGAAAGCTCCTGCTGAGGTTTCTGACGAAAAATGTCGGAATTTCGGCCAAATTTTGACCGATGTTTCTGACGAAAACTGTCGGAATCTGGCTTTTTGCCAATTATGTTTCTGACGAAAAATGTCGGAATTTCGGTCAATTTAGGGCAAATTCGCGGAAAAGACCCCCATGGCTGACTCGGTCCTACCCGGTCTAAGACAAAGATGGTTGGTCTCGGGTTAGAGCTAGAGCTACCACTTCACACGGCTTAACAACGTTCCACGTTCCACCAAATCATACTTACACAGCCACACGACATTTCACCACTTTTAACCGCATTACTACAAACTCAAACTTTCATACAATTCAAACACAATCTACATACTCAGATTCAACCACGAGTCAACATGACACTCCTCAATGATGTTATGAAAGAGGCCTTATGCCTCGTCGAATCTTCTCCAAAAATTGTGACTGCCACATACAAAGATGAAATCTATAAAAGATTTTCCAACCCTCCAGATGTAGACGAGGATGATGTGGACGAAGGTATTTGGATGACAGTCAATCGAAAACTTGACGCGTTGTTTGGTCGAGATGATGGTCACAAGCACATCTTAAAAGGTCCTGAAGGGATTTCTTTGGTGATTGACTGGGTCAATGAAGCACGCAAGCACCCTTCCTGGGATTCACCAGAAGACAAAGAAAAAAAATTGCAAAAAAAAGGTGGCTTTGATTCCGCATCAGATCGGTTGGTGAAGCTCAAATTTGAGCGCATTTGTAGCAAAGTTAAGGGTAAGTTTATCCCTGATTCTATATTTCATGATCATGTTTCACGGTCTAATCAGGTCCAATGATCCTTATTTTATCTCTATCAGAACTCGAAGGATCTCTACAAAGTGAAACTCGACCTGCTCAAGCCATACCAAACCCATCAAATGGAATCAAGCGCCGAATTGTATCTAACCCGACCCTCGATCTCAATGTTGCAATTGCTGAGGAGCCTAAGCCTCCACCAAAACGACAGCAAAAAAAAACTAGTGGATCTACTATGATTCTGATCTCATCTGACAACGAGGTTATATTTGTTGGAAGTAATCTTAAACAATCAAAAACAAAAACAAAGCCAAAGAAACAAAACACGATCAATCAATGTCCTCTTTCAAAAGCAGACCAGCCTTGCATACGTTGTAAGATTGAAGTCCATGAAAAGGGCAAGCTTCTCAAATGTCATTGTGGCTCAGCGCCAGTAACTTTGCGCAAAGGGCGAAGTGAAGCTGCACAAGTGCACTGGAAAAGTGGTAGGTTTTTTCGCTCTTTCACATCTTGAATAATTTTTAAACCAGTGCTGATTTGCTTGAAATCGTTTATCACCAGCTATGTGTCAGAATGCAACGGCTCGTTTGAAAACCAACACGCTTTTGAGCGCGTACTTTGTAAAAGACCCTGCTGTTCAACCCGTCAACAAGAACATCATCGACACGGTTTGCCTAGGTCTTACAGATGAAACCTGGGTTCGTCCTCGAGCCACTCAGACAATTGCACAATTCTTGGAGAGCACTTGTACAATCTATCGTGGTGTTGACCGGCACAGTCTTCGCAAAGAACTCTTTGGACACAATATCCGCGAGAACGATCTCACCTCATCACAAAAAGCCGAACTTCTTGCAACAATGGACGCACGTGCAACATGGGTGGTCAAGAGAAACGGTGATCGGAATGCCATCTACTCGAAATCTTGCGAAAGTACTTTCAAACGTCTCAAGAACGACCCTATTCAAACCTGCAAACCATGCCTTGATTTGAAAGAAGTCGACAGCGTAACTTCGGCTATTAACCATAAATATGCTGACCCCGACAACTTCAAGTTTACACCTACCGCCTTGCAGCGTATTGATACATACCATAGTCTTAGGCGAAAGCACTTAGAAGTTGATATTCTTTCAACTTCACTTGAATCTTCGACTGGTGGCGACTTTAGCGATTTTCTCCATAAGCTATCACTCTTGGCTAACAAGGGACTTTTCAATAACCGCGAAGCGATGAAAGGCATGATAATGGGATGTTCTATACGTGCCGAGCGCGAGGAGGCAGGAAAATCTCTCCGAGGTATGCGAATTGATGAACATCTGAATGATTGCCTCACCACTTTGGGTGCAATGAGCAAGAGTGCCCTTAAGATTGTCACCAAGAATTTCGTCGGGAAAACCTTACGATGCCAAAGAATGGATCGGGCAAAAAGTAAGAGTCAGATCGAAGACGGAATGGCTCAAGGAAATTTCGATCGTGCAGGCGCAATCCTGTCTGAGCTTGGATACTCAGGTCCTGTTACAGTAGGCTCAGATCAAACAGTCTGTGTCCAAACCCTTCGTCATCATCGTGGATTCATCGTCGGAGCCCAAGGAGGCGACATACCCTTCAATAGCCCAAATGAACTGCAAGTCTTACTTGAGAAAATCAAGGACGAGAATAGTCTATGCTCAAAAGTAAGTCTTTATAGATATTGTATGCTATCATTATTATGTCCACTAATTCATGATATCTATTTAACTACTAGATCCGAGTTTACACAATGCAAGTTCCTCTTCCGAATATACCAACTCTAGTGGTTGCTTTGTTAGCTAGTCGATCGGACGAAGGAGGCGATGAGATTGCAACACTTCATGAAACAGTTATCATGATGAGTCAAGCTGCCGGTATCAATGTATTGTCAATCGGTGCGGATGGAGCAGCAAATGAACTGGCTGCTCAGGCCAAACTGAATCAAATGGCCACTCGATTTTTGACTTATAAAAACGAAAAACATGATGTACACATCAAAGTCCCACTCTTGGGCAATCCACTCCTTCCAATCGTGACCTTACAAGACCCTAAGCATGCTAGGAAGACCGGCGCAAATCAACTTTTATCGGGATCACGCTTGATCACTTTAGGAAAATATGTTGTTTCTCTCCAGGATCTTTCTCAGGTTCTACAAACACCAAACAGCCCGCTCCTTACAAAGGATGTGTTTGACTGTGATAAACAAGACGACGGACGAGCTCTGAGGACCTTCTGCTCTGAAACTGTGGCGGTCACGCTGGCTCAACCGGACTGTTCTGGATTAACTGTATATCTTTACATCATCGGCGAACTTTGTGATGCTTGGTTAAACAAAACAATGGGCCATCGTGAACGCATCAGAGCTGTGTGGACGTCTGGTTTCTTCTTACGGTTCTGGAAAGCTCATCTTCTCAAGCGTCAAAAAGAAACGAAAGGTCTGATGAGCTTTCATCTCAATGGAATTTCTCATGCCAGCTTCAAGATCTTTTCAAGTCTTGCTGAATCATTTTTGGCGCTGATCATTTCACATCGAGAATATTATGGTGATTTCCCGTTTTGTCCATGGAAGCACGGAACAGAAGCTTGTGAACACATCTTTGGATGGATGCGTGTCATCTTTCCCAATTTTAGTGTCCTTGATGCCCGCCTCATGATGCCAAAGATCATCGCAGTTGTCAAGAGCATCATGAGTGGTAGAATGAAGATGCCACCATCGGAACACCTACATGCGGGCTACCAGATCTCTTTAAATGAAGAAAATCCCAACAACCTCGATCATCTGCGCAACTTTCCGTCTAATAAAGAGATATCAGACGATCTCGACATTGCCAAAAAACGTGCTCTTAGTTTGGCAGAATATTGTGAGATGGTTGTAAATGAGCTTGAAGATTTAGACGATGATGTAGAGGAAATTGTCCGATCAACTGTTGAGAAAGTTCAAGAAGACTCGCCGGGTTAGTAATTATAAGCAAAGATATCTCCGTATCTTCTGTTTGTTAAGCTGATAATTTTCTACAATTTGCAGATATCTCAACGAGCGCTGCCAAAGATTATCAAATAAAATATGGCTTCGACATGGGGGAATTTCCCGAGGATGAGGCTTTTGAAACCGCAGCTATATTAACAAAAGAGCAGAATGCTCTCAATCTCATGCTCGATAAAGTACCCGAAACTCTTGAGGGCGACGTAGTTCAGAATGCTGCGATGTCAATATCAAACCTTCTCAACTCTAGCGGTATGTTCTACCTTAGCCAGCAATAAACTGATTAACTGACTTGTCTCTTACAAACCAGACGAGCCTCACAAGACCATAGACTTGACAGTGGGTGAAGAATCGTTGAGCCTGATTGATGGTGACAAACTTCACCACAAGAACATCATGAAGCTACGACGAAGTCATGATAGTCAGGTTTCCAAGAATAAAGGTAATGATCGTATGCTGACCAACCGTGATGACCTTGTCCATGAGCTCAACTCAACTACCAACGATGGTGGCATGAAACCGAGTGTTTGCTCGAAAGCCATAGCAGTCTTTATGAAGACTTTTTCTGGAACTCCAGCTGGTGCCGCACGTCGGCACCGGTGGAATATGCATGTAAAGATAAATCTGGCGGGGATTATCACCAACACCACAACAGATCGAGCTTTGGACCTGCAGCAGTTATTCGATGCTGGATCGATTGGGGTTGAGAATCCAATTGAGCCCGGTAAACTCCTCATATTTATCAAAAACAATGTATGTATTTCATTTTGTTTGAAGACATCTAGGAAACAATTACTGACATCTTGTGGGATCAGACATTGCATCTTGCACGCACGATAGTTGTCTATGAGCATGTGGCCGGAAAACATGCCTTTGTCACGAGTGCCACATCAAGAAAAAAGATATCACATGTTGGTGTGCAAGTATTATATTACGAGCCAGGGCTTCCGGTGGCACTAGCTACTGAAAGGAATGCTCCAGATTCCTGGACCTATGCCCTCTTGGATGCCCCAGATATTGTCTACGTCTTCAAGCCCTCCAATGGATCAAACTTTGCGTTAATTCAGGAAGGATGTTACTCATTGCCAAGAATTATAATGGGAATGTTACAAAAAATTGATATTGACAAGCTGATTCAAAGGTACAACGAAGAAAGAAAGAAAAAAAAGTCGACTGTTCATGAAGATAATGAATAGGAATCTTTTGCTTTTTGTTTTTCCTCTCTCTCTACTACTTTACGCTCTTTATGAAATCACATTCATTACAGTCATTAGATTAACCTTTGCAAAATAAAACTATCTCCATGCTTATTAAAGCATATCCCTGCTGCTTTGTGCTTCTGAGAGCCAGCCAATGCGGTTGGTAGTACCCCAGCCCCGTGCCTGAGCACCACGGGGCCGTATCCGGCCCCGAAACCTCTGCTTCGGGCTGTTTGGGAGGTTTCTGATGTAAAATGTCGGAATCAGGGATTTTTTTGAAATTTCACCGGCGTTGCGAGCCAAAATGTCGGAATTTACATCAGAAACCTCAATAAGAGCTTTCCTGGGTCCTAAACAATCTTACCTCTCATCCTAGAGACTCCAAAACATTCTTCTGCCAACATTCTATTGTAGTCCGAGAAATCAGGTGGAGCTACCATACCATTAATTTCTACTCTATTTACTAGAACATTTTCTCTAACTCTCATATCATATTTCAAAGCTGTTAACCAACCCATCTCGCTCATCACTCTTTCTACATTGGTCTTGTGAGCTACCGTCCACTCGGTGAATTTAGGAAATTTTGACACTGCTGTGATGAAAGCGTTATAGTATATACTCCATTCACCATAGTCTAAGAGCCATTCGTCAGCGTATGGTAAACCGGTGTAAGAGGAGTCTGATTTTTCTCCGTCACTTGACTTCGATTTCTTCTTAACATGACACGTCATCGCCTTATTTTGCCAGTCCTTATCGAAGATAGTTAGAGGAATAGGATACCTTAACTCATCTATATTCTTGTCGAAATATGGTGTGTAGCTTCTTTTGGTATGGCTGGTCGTTTTCCCTGGGAAAAACCACATTCCATTCTCAAAAACGGCTCCTTCCGGTATCTTCTTGTTTTCGTCTGACAAGACTGGATTCGCAGATGTAGCTCGTTTGGTTGAAGGGCGATTCATCGTTAAAGTTCCTAAAGTTTCATATACTTTAAGATACTTTGCTGCTTTCTTTCCTTCTCCCTTTACAGATAAGACCATAGCTTTCGCAAATACTGCGTCTTTATTCGTTAGGTCGATTCCTTCTTCGAAATCTTCTTCCTCGTCGGAATTTACTGAAATAGTTATTCCTATCGATCACACTATGTTAGATCATAATCGAGTTCACTAGTACAATCGTTTCTCACCATGGTTTGCAGAAGGTTTACTTCCTAGAATCGACAAGTAATCAGGGTTTACTAAAGCTTTCCCTTGATTTTTGGATCCTTGGATATCTTGGTTCTTATTCGTTTCATTTTCCTTCGATTCTTTTGAATCGATTATCATTAACATTTGTTTCAATAAATATTGCAATATTTAAACTGGATAACTGCTTACTTAGACTTTGTTCGTTCTCTTGATCCTTCTTAGACGATTTGCTAGGATCTTCTAATCTTTCTAAAGATTCCTTTTGTCTATTTAATCCGAGGTCATCTCTTTGACCTCCTTGGATAGGATTCGCAGTCGAACTCTTGGTTTGGACCGAGTTTGATTGATTCGATTTGTTCAACTCTAAACCAGGGTCAATGGGACTACCCTCTTGGTTTAATTGAGTTCTATTAGTACCTAGATTCTTAGAAGGATCTACTTGGTTGGTTTTTGAAACATGGCCAGGATCAGCTTGATCACCTTGGCTAGACTCGATCGATTTCGATGTGTCGTCGTTTGTTGAAGTTTGTTCATTCGAAGGATTCGCTCCTGCTGGTGGCTGAGTTAACAAGTTTACGATTGCGCCACTCTCCGTTTCCTTGTTGTTTCCTCTTCTTCTATTCGGCTTGTCGGACATTGTTATGTGTTATAAGATAGAAACAGAAAAATACGAGAGCGGAAACTCGAGAAGGCAGGGATTCGGTAAATGGAGAACCTTCGACGGAATCCAAAGAGGAAACGAAACATCAAGTGAGGGAAGAGAGATTGATCCTAATCTCTGGGGTCTCCTTGATATCTCGTCAGGCGTCCAGGCCACAGCTGAGTGAGACTTCGTGTGTCACGAGTGCTCATCATTCAGGCACCGGCTACTATTGGCTTAGGTAATCTCTCTGTTACTAAAGCCTTCGTGCGTAGACGCTCTGAGAAGCTGAGGCCTGGTTCTCGAGAAGTAGCTGCCCAAGTGCGGGCATGGACAGGAGTAACCTCCCTCGTGCCTTGTACGGGTACTAGTTATTACAGGATACAAAGTAGAATCCAGGCACGCACCCGGCTTCGTGCCCAGATTTTTTTTGCAGTAAATTTGAATTCTGGGCCCGGACTTTTGCCCAGAAAATCAAAATTTACTGCCAAAATAATTCTGGGCACAAGGCCGGGCATGTGCCCAGATTCTACATTGTATTCCACAAATGTCTTATCCTTTGTTGTGTTACAACATTTTTCTTAGCTTCTTTTGAAGCCTTGTACATATGTTAATATGTTTTATATAGTTTTAACAATCCACATGTAACTTACATGCTGAGCCTGAAAAATCCCAAAAAATTGTTCAACAAAGGAGAAGTTTTCCTCGACTTTTCACTTTTTCTTTAGATTTTTCTTGTCACTTTTGGAGGCTAAATCTAGTGATGAAGTTCCCACTGGGGGTGCAGAAGAAAAACACACCAAATGTTGCACCTCACGCCTAAAAAACTCAAAAATTAGGTTGGTGCACCTAACTTCGGTATGGATATCCAAACCTAACAAACATGGCAGGGGAGGCTTTGTTAGGTTTCATTCTACCATCAGATACAAACTTAACTAAGTCCCAGTCTGGACCTAACCACCAACTCCAGAGAGGGACTTACACCTAAAGTCAATTTTTTGGCGTGAGATCTGTCGGGGCTTTGCACCAAAAAATGGTGGCCTTATAAAACTTTTTTTTGTCATTTTAGCTTGCCTTCACATTCATTACAAAAAATATGCGCCTTGAATCTGTCTACATCCTCTAACTCTGGGCTTATTGATATGTTGAGCGGCTCCAAAGATATCTAGAGAAGTTGGTATTTTAATGTCAGACCAAATTTCAAACTTCAGACACGGAGCAGTCCAAATTACTGTAAATTTCACCTTTGGGCCCTAAACAAACTTTATATTTATCTACACAACCAATCAAGATAACAAGAAAAAATGAGTACGAGGTTGTAGAGGGAGTCCAGGTGCACAATCTTCATAATAAATGTGGAGGAAAGTTGAAATTACAAAAAAAAGTTTTATAAGGCGGCCAGTTTTTGGTGCAAAGCCCCGACAGATCTCACGCCAAAAAATTGACTTTAGGCGTAAGTCCCTCTCTGGAGTTGGTGGTTAGGTCCAGACTGGGACTTAGTTAAGTTTGCATCAGATATCACTCCCAGCAAAAGGTATATTTCCCAAGGAAAAAACAATTACATTTAATGCATTTTTTAATCAAGAATGCTCATTTAATGCTGAATAATGCTGATTTAATGCTGAATAATGCTGATTTCATGCTGAATAATGCTGATTTCATGCTGAATAATGCTGATTTATTGCTGATTAAATGCTGATTAAATGCATTTTCAATCATTTTTTGCTCTAAATGTATTCATTTTTTACTGGGGAAAATTACTTTATGCTGGTAGTGTATGCCCCCAGGTTCGAGGGAAATTTTGAATTCATGTATGTACGGATCCATATTCAACAGCCATTTCATCTTTTTATCCGGTCAACAATAAGGGTACTCAAAGTAAGTATGTACGTGTACATACTTTTTGCTATATACTTTTTTTGGCGGGGAAGGCGAGGCCAAAAGTATATTTTTTTTCTTTGTCCCCGCCAAAAAAAGTATGTAGCGAAAAGTATGTAGCGCTACATACTTTGCTTTGAGTACCCTTAATATGCCAAAAGTTCAGAAGACACACAATAAACATTCTCCCAAACAGAATGGTAAAGACTCGTCTACCAAATGGATTCTATTGTCTTCAGACTGCTCTGCTTGCTGGACCAGATTTCTCATGGCCAAACAGCAATCAGTTGGACAACGGGCAGCAAATTTGGGGCTTATTATCACTCTGCCTCTGTAAATTAAGATGAAGTCGCGTTGAGCTTCTGTTCTATTGCCAGTACAGATTTCGAGGACCCAGAGGGATTTGAATTGTTACGGACTTATGTACTTAGAGCCAAAATCAACGTAGATCATCATTGAGGTACTTTACTATTCTTTCGCTTCTGACATGTCTTCACTGTTTTATATTGTGGGCGCGCATTTGTCACAGAGGTTCCGTGGTGAAGGCTTGGGTAGATAGCTCATCATCAGACCAAACACACTTCCTTTGATCTTAAATTTATATAATAATTGTGTAAAAAGACAAGCTGCGAGAAATGATGAATTGCAAAAAAGGACAACATACAAAAAAGTTTTAATTGATAAATCAATAGCTTCAAGGAATGAAACTTAGCAGGTTCAAAAAACAATAAGCAAAAAAATGTAAGGAAATGATTAGAATGAACAATGACCCATGGAGTGACAGCGAGAGAGAGAGAGAGAGAGATAGAAGCGGCGATAAAACAAAAGGGTTAGAATTGTGATTTTTGATGGGAGTTTATGATGTGGGTTTGATCAGTAATCTGTTCTCCTCCTCTTCTCACGACCATCATCCATCCCGCCCATCCCATTTTGAGCTCCTGCACCATGAGAGCCAGCGCCATTCATGAAGCGGGGATTGAAGTGACCTCCGTTTGCATTACCTCCTCCTACTACCCCCGCACCAGGCGCCATCGGTCTAGGACCTGGACCGCCCATCGGCATCATCATAGGCATCATACCATTCATACCGCCCATACCGCCCATGCCCATCATACCCATACCACCTGGCATCATACCCATCATTCCACCTGGCATCGGACCCATTCCCATGTTATTCATTCCGCCCATCATTCCTCCCATTCCTCCCATGTTACCCATTCCTCCCATTCCATTCATTCCATTCATCACACCACCCATGCCATTCATTCCATTGGCACCGCCTGAATTGACCATTGGCCCATTGTGAGCCATCACACCGCGACCCATCCCAGGATTACTAACAGCTGTCGGTGGTCCACCGGAGATACCACCTCGACCCATTCCCATGTTCATACCCATTCCCATCGCACTTCCATTCCTTCTGGTATCTTCGCCTCGCCCTCGTCCCATACCACCCACCACATTGTTATAACCACCTCGGCCTCGCACTTCACGATCATCTGTGTTTCGAACGTTTCCGAGACCATGTTTGTCCGCATTGCGAAAGGGCATCCCATTCATGGGAGGGCTGAGATTGCATTGCGACTTTCGATCATGAATTTCGCTTTGTAAAGTAGTGCGGAGCAAAAGATGGGTAAATCAGAGAATAAGTAATCCCACAGATGATTAAGTGAAGATGGGAAAAGCGAGAACCTACTTTACATCAAGCCATCTTTTGACTTTATCAGCATCAGCTTGAGATGCAAATTCCATATAAGCGATCCTATGTGAAAAGGAAGAACGATATGTAAGTAAAGTAGGTTTAAGTGATTAAGGTTCAATTGAAACCTCGGCACACCCTTTAGATTTTCCGTTCACTTTGTGTTCAGAAAAGGTGATATCTCGATGAGCGATTCTTACGCCTAATTCCTCCGCCATCTTTCGCAAGTCTTCGTCACTTGTGTACTGGATGTTTGTGGGGGTAGTTATAAGATGTAAAAGTAGAAGCTCGATAACTTATCAGCAATTCTGAAGACTCGTCTCGTAACGCAATCAATCCAAGACTAACCCATTGTAGCTCCGCTACGTATAGACCACAGAGGCCACGTTCAGTCTTAGCATTATTCATCACCACATCTCCTGACAAAGGTGTCAGGGGTGGTACTGAGTTGTTTTGAGTCTGTGTGCCAGAAGCGTTGGTTGCAGACTTAGGGTTGGAAGCCATCGGATTGGCAGGCAACGATGCCGAGGCAGGAGCTAAAGGCAACCCATGCTTTGGAGAGAAATCAGGCATGTCAATGCAGGTTTGGTGAGGATAGTGATCACATGGGAAGCCTTCACTTCGATCGATCATTATCAAGGAAAAGCTGAGAGAACGTACTTCACTATTTTGGGAAGTCTTTAACGGCTTGAGATCCGGCTTATTGTCTGATGCAGATGAATCAGACGGTTTAGATGTCTGTTGATTGGAACCAGGACCAGTTAAGACCTTAGCAGAGCTCATAGTCACATCGAGAGGCTCTTCCTTAACGCCGTGAGTTGAAATGGTGGGACTAGTCGGATCACGTACACTACCTCCATCCTCAGGAAGGAGGTCAGCATATAAGTTTTCCTACGATTGTTGTTGGTTAGGGTGAACAACGTATGATAATGTGAGAGTTATTGAGGATTATGGTGGTTGAGTTAATAAAGCAAACAAGTCAGGAAACAAAAACAAGGTGAGTAATAATGTACACAGATGTCTTCATACGAGTCTTCAAACCGAGCGATCGAATCAACATTCGTCTCAAGAATGAGGATATCAAAGGAAAAGAAACAAAGAGAAAGTTATAAGTACTTCGGGTGCATCATCTGTAGGGCCATAGATATCGTCGAAATCGGCCTGTTCTTGTTTCATTGTGAGTGGTTGTAGTATTGGTCTTCTTCAAAAAAACAGGGTGTAGGACAAGTCTCCTTTTCTTGAGAAGTTGAATTTCAATTTACAACGAGCGCTCCCCTGAGTCAATCTCAAAACAGCTGTTCTGTGGGGAAGTAAGACGATTTGACCAAGTATTGATTCGAATTACGAAGGACATGAGGAAGAGAAAAACATTGGTAAGGAACTCAGTTTCACGGTTTCAACGGTATACAATCAAGACGTGGAAGAAAGATAGACAGAATAGATTTGGGAAACATCAAGATATTTGGATGTGTTGATGGGACAGATCCCTCAACTTGACCAGATAGAAGAGCAGACCATACATGAGCAGGCTCTGTGTAAGTCGAAGTAAAAGTGGCGTTTACATGAGTGCAACATCGGCTGAAAGGTCAACGATGGACTTGATTATCTAAGACAATAAGATCAGAGTGAACGATGAGGTGAAAACTGTCAACCATTGACATCAAACAGTACATAAAGAGTGTCGTTGATCGGGTGAGGAACTGAATCGATGTGTGTCTGCGAACCTTGAAGAGCTTCGACTGATAAGATGAATCAGTAGGAGACGATACCAAGACTGGGGAACAAGTCGATGGAAGAGGTAATCAAGCTTTTTGGAGACAAACTAGAGGACGCAATGAAATATATAGCAAACGGGAATCGAAGGAGACAAGGAGAGTGCCACTGCCAGGCAGATCGAGATCGAGTAAAGAAAAAAGTAAAGAGAAAAGATCAAATCAAGAGAAAAAGAATAAACCGACTGAGTTGAAGTTAAGTTAAGAACACAAGTTGTCCAAACGTAGATTTATAAGGCGCAAAGGAAGACAAGCTGATTTTGATAAGGTGGAATTGAGAAGAAGTTGGACAAAGATAATTGTTGTAATCCTAGAGAATTGAGAGAATGCAGTAAAAGTTAGAGTGGTAGTTGAGGGTAATCGAGTAAGTTTGGATGAGTTTTGCTGGATATCCTCTTATGCTGTGATCTTGAGAGTTGATGGTGGTAAAGAGTTTCAAGAGTCCAGACGACGCCTCATCAGTTTTACATGCTATCGCTTATTGACTCGTCGGGCGTGAGAAGATGAGCCGGTCCCCCAACACCGAGCCCGTCTCACGTTGTACGTGCTGTATTGTGTCTTGATCGGGTGAAAAGCACCACCGGTGACATTTCACACCCCAACCTCTCCCAAACCTTTCCCTCTTTTGAGATCCGAGCCGCATATTTACTCATGTTTTTTGATCAAAGTGCTGAGCCGTATGGATCAGAAGCATTGCGAGGAAAGATTTTCTCGACCTCTTTGACTTTTAAGTGAATTTAAGCGGACACTGTCCAAGATTTTCTCTGAGAGTCTTCATTGCAAAGATATGGCTCAGCAGGCAAATGCAAGGTTGAAGGATTTTTTAACCTTCGCTGATTCTCAATTCCCTTAGAGGTCAAAGCCGGAACTAATACCAAAGTCCAATCCCCAGTCAGCCTCCAAAACCATCTATCAACCTAGGAGACACGCCAAAAATTATGAGGATGAACAAGAGAAGCTTTTATATCGACCTAAGAACACAAGCTTAGGAAAACGTCCAAGAGACATAGGGCAAAGACATTCACAAGAGAAAAGAGAAAAGGGGCAAGGAGCAGGATCGGTTTACGATGGAAATACTAAACACACCCTCATGGTAATGTAAAGCCTGATTATTATATTTGTGTTCTTGGATACCAACTAATTAAAAGTAGCTCCAACCAAAAAATGCTTTGTGAGATTGTTCATCAAACTTACCTACGTACTTCTGGTTCCCTAGAGCGTACTGCAAGATCGGATACGCTTTGGCGTTCTTGAGCTCTTTCAATCAGCTCCCTTGTTTCTTTCAGCTCATCCCACAATCGTTCCATTCCTAGTGGCATCTTTGCAGCAGTTTCTATCCTAGTCAACTTGGAATCAATAACTCCTAAAAAATTGGGAGGTAGATCTTCCAATGTGAGAAATCCTCTGAGAATTCGGAAAAGTGAAATTTGCACAATTGAACTCCAGTCAAGTTTGATTTTATCCAACATCTCCGTCATCATTGCTTCCCAGTTGCCCTTTTCTGATAAAAGTATCTCATTTGTTTCCTGCACCAGATCAGAATAGTATGTGGGAGGATGATCATCTTCTGGCTTGCCCTCAGAACCTGTCAGGTAAAATAGTCTGGATCAGGCTGTTCCCTTTCATGTACCATGATCGACCTGGGAACTTTGTGGATTACTTACATTTTTTCCAAAATAACTCAATTGCATTGGATTGTAGTTTTGTCAATGGGGTCTTCCTGGGATACGTGCACGCAGAGAAAACTTTCCATGTCCCTTCATATGCTCCAATTTGGGAGTCAGTCTTCTCACTAGCCTCTTGTGTTGTTTTCATTGCCTTCCACCATTGTTCAAAGCCAGAGTCGTTCGCTATCTGTTGCATTTTTTTCTTATGAAGATTAATGACTTCTGACACCTTGGGTGGTAACTCTTTCAACAACAGAAATGCTCTTAAAATTTGGGAACGTGAAACTTTTTCTGAGCTTGAAATCGTCTCAATTTTGCCTTCATCTATCATGCTCTTCATCATCTCTTCCCAGTGGACCTTGTCCGATAAAAGTATCTCATTTGTGTCTTTTACCAGACGCAAAAAATATAATGGATAGTGATCGGATATTTTGTTTTGTTGAGAGACTGGCAGGTAAGATTGATTGAGATCAGATTGTGTATCATCTTTTTTGTGGGAAACTTTTGAATTACTCACAGTTTTTCCAAAAGCAAACAAGCTGGTTGGATTGAGATGTTGTTAAGTTGATTCTGCTGTGATATGTACAGGCAGAGAGCAATTGCGATACATTTCCAGCTAATCCAAATTGGGTCCAACATTTTTTACTGATTTTCATTGTGGCTTGTAGCTCCTTCCCCCATATGACACTGACTGCTGAACTGTCTCCTATCCCTTTCATTTCCAACAACTGGAGATGGATAACTAGAAACACTTTGAGTGGTAAGCCATTCATGACAAGAAATTCCCTTAGAATTTGAAAAAGCATGATCTGTTCAGCAGAATCTCTTGAATCATCCTCAAGTTTGATTGTATCTAACATCTTCTTCATATTCTCTTCCCATGTGCTCTTTTTTGATAAAAGTATCTCATTTGTTGCTTGTACCAGATGAGAGTTATATGATGGATAATGTTCTTCTCCTGTTTGGTGTGCAGAACCTGGCAAGTAAGATTAGTTGGGATCAAATTCTCATATTCCATCCATCATGTTTTCTATGATGCTATTTTGAATGACTCACTGGAAATTTCCTCCAAAGGATTGCTTGAAGTTTGGTCAATTTGAGCTTTCCATGAGTCCTCTAGCATCCCTTCCTGGCTTCCCCTTCCTGATGGATGTACCCCACTAATCCCTGTTAGCCCATGTGCAATGTACAATATATGATCATCATATATCTTGTTGTTTTCAGAACCTGGCAGTTAGAATAATGCTGGATAAGACATGCCTATTTAATTCATTGTGTTACTTGAACCTGTTGAATTACTCACATTTTCGCCAAAACTTTTTAATTTTGTTTAATTGTGTTTTTTTCAACTTAGCTCTGCCAGTATATGTGCATGCACAGAACTCTTTCCATCTATTTGCAGCTTCTACCCCACCCAGTTTTTCTAATTTGGAAAGAATTCAATGTCATAGATTTCACAACCTCTGTCAATAGATTATTCATTGAGATGTGATGACTCACCTGCTTTTGGGTAGTTTGTGATCCCTGAAACAAAATCCCTGAAGGACTTGCTCCTCATAAAATGTACTACGGTAGCACAGAGACCTGCTTGTAATATTGGATGTATCAGGAATATGTACCAGAAGCACTTCTTCATTTTCCTATCAAGAGTTGAATTCCAAGTCTAGTTGATGAATGAGATAGTGTATATAAGTTTTGGGAGGAGTCTGCACTTGAGTTTGCCACAGATAGAAAACAATGTAGAAAAGTGGGGGAAAAGGAATAATTATAAAATCATTGAATAAGAGTCCTCTACACATTGTTCAACTTGTTGCATACATAATACTCTACCAGTTTTGTAACTTGATCTAGGTGGTAATACACCTTATCAGGGATCTGTTGCACTAAAAATGTACTTGCTGCCATGTTATGATAATTTTAAATCTTGTATGATACAAATCTGATCAATAGTTTTGATCTTTGAGGGAGGTCTCTCAGATCTGCACCTGTACACTTAAGTATGTACCCTATACCATAGGGTCATACAGACGTCTGTATGACCCAATGGCATTCGAGTCTGACTGCCAAGATGAATCAACATCTTAAGAAGCATCTTGAAGGGTTCCAAATTTGGCTAAGTCACCTTTTTCCTTAGGGAAACCAAGACCAGCCCCGAATCCCCACAAGATACAGCCCACCATGTTAGCAAAAGTCTACCACCCTTCGACTTTTCCCCACCACCTCAACAAATACCCACCACCCCCTAACTAAGTTCAACCACACCTTGAATCTTTGTCTACCCACTCAGCTAAATCCAACCACCCGTCAAATTTACATTCACCCTTCCAACATAACTACACCACCCGTATGGTGACCCTACTTTCAAACCTCACCACCCCCCTCCGACATTACCCATCTATCTACACAAACACCACCGTATCAATATTCACCCACCACCCTTTCTTACATAATTACCAACATGAACCACCCCAGTCCCAACATTACACCGTACCCTAACCACACACCCCTCAACCAAGCAACTCACCTACAATCATCAATCCTTTTTCACAAATCATTCAAAAGAAATCAACCTTGACAGTCATCTACCCCTCTTGATAACCATTCTCACCCCCCCATGTCGTCTACCACCTCAGCATCCAACAATTGTCCTAGCCTTCAACCACCCCCCCACGACCTTGTCACCGCCTCGCTCGCCGAAATGCAGACCCAGCTCCAAGCACACGCAGCTGCCAATGGATACAAAATCGCCACACGATCATCAGAAGGCACCAGCATACGTTACAAGTGCCATCGATCAGGTCATAAACCCGGGCCCAATTCAAGATCCCTCAAAACAAATTGTCCTTTCGCCTTCAAGGTTTTGCAGATCGTCCCTTCTTCAGTACCCGATTACCTTCAAGCATTAGCACTCAATGGAAACGAATCGAAATTACCTCCAATCGGCAGCTGGACCATTCACATCCAGAATCCAAATCACAATCACGAACCGATTGGTTTCAAGGTAACATACTTGTATGATCTTACCCAGTCAAGTCAAACTGACACTCATCTCTCAACGCTATGAACTTTGCAGCCACATCATGCAGAGTCACATGACATGTCTTTGTCTTTGGCAGTGATCAATCAACGCTCGACCATGGCAAGTCAGTTCCGTTAGTAGTAATCTCACATTGGCCTGTTGGTTTATGAAGTATCATTCAGGTATAAGATAGGCTTTCACGACTTCCGCACCAACTTCGGGCACAGGCC